AGAACATGGGAAGATTCAGAACGCCAAAACCCCAAAAAAGATCTGAGACCACGCGTCCCCCAGCAGTGCAGCAAGCCCCTCACCAAAGGGAGAGAATCTTTGACTCGAACATGCGAAGCCACAAAATGACCATAAAAAAGGAAATAAAGAGAGGCCGACCCTTGCTATATACTTGTATTTGAACATGAGGCTATTCGATGCTTCGCGATCGCGGTCCTCCCCAGACACAGCATGGCCCACCGGGGCCCACCCCCTCTGCGACTTCTTGTGCGCCCCCAGAAAGCATCATGCGAGGACCGCTTTTCACTTTGGTATAGTGACAAGATTGTTGTCCTTCGTGCTGGGCAGCTGTAGCGGCCAGCATCCAAAACAACAACACAGGTATGATCTCTCTTCGTCCCTCTCACTCTCATCTACTTCGCTCCCAAGCCTCGCTATCCTCTCTGAATGCCTTCCTCCTCTCTCTCTAAGCTACAACTACTGGTGTGGAGCACCATTGGCTGAACCTTGCAGTTGCAAAGCCCAACCCAGGTTGCACAGTAATGTGGCTCCAGGCGTAAGCGTGAAAGTCTGTTGACAACTGCCACAATTCGAGTTTCATGCGGCACTGGTCTTCCAGGTTCCTTTGCAGGTTCCAGTCTTCCAGACCCTTCGCTTGCTGTCCCCGATTGATGCACAGACTGACTTTACTTCTAATGAATTCTCCTATCCCGACCGGTAGCTGCCGGAAACTTCCTGCTGAGGCCTAAGGAACCTACGGTGATAGACCCTACTTAGTACAGGGAATATGGTACATGGGACCAGGGCTGGGACTTGAACTGGAAAGTGGGGTCGATAACTATTTAACCCTTGCAATATGGATGGGACCAGTGCTGGGACTTGAACTATAAAGTGGGGTCGATAACTATGAAACCCTTTCAAAGACATTAACGCTACTCAAGATATTGACTGTATGCAAGACAGCAAAAACGAGCTACCAATCTGACCAGTAGTACCACGACAAAAGGCAAGGGAGTGATCTGACCAGTAGTACCACGACAAAAGGCAAGGGAGTGATCTGACCAGTAGTACCACGATAAAAGGCAAGGGAGTGAGACTGTAATGAAATAGGAAAGAGACAAAAAAAGACCATTGCGAAAAAAAAGACTTAAGGGGTGACAAAGCAACCGGCCTAGCTCAGTTGGTTGAGCACGTATGTGGTACACAGGATGTCGCGGGTTCGATTCCCCACGTCAGCCAGTTGAGTTCCCACGATTCCCTGTGGCATACTTCGGGTTCCCCGGCTGAGACAGTCGCTTGTCTCTACTGGCTGGTTGTGGAAGTTGTGTCCTGACTTTCCAGGCCCAGCCAGGTGTTAGGAGCTTGGGTGCTGCTCCCCCGCACAGAGCAGGGTTAGATAGGACACATAACCTTAGTCTCACTTATCACTGGCCAATACATTTGAAGCGGGTCTTCTGTTCAATGGTAGCTGCATTGTGTGGTCCATAGGTGGTTCTAGTTCAGTTGATCATTATCCTAGGCTGCTTCGTCGGGTTTGTGGGCAGGACATAGGTATAGGTAGTTAGCAAGAGACGTATTGAGAGAAGAAAATAGGGCAGTCAAAAAATACAACTGTCCCCCATACGAGGAGAAGACAGCTGTATTTCTTTATTACAGAAAAAGAAGAAAAAGACTAAGGGGTGACAAAGAGCGAAAGAAATCCATACGTCTTCTGAAAAAGAAATTTCTTTATTACAGAAAAAGAAGAAAAAGACTAAGGGGTGACAAAGAGCGAAAGAAATCCATACGTCTTCTGAAAAAGAAAGTCCAGTGAAAGAGGCACAAATAAATGCACTCTTGTCGACAGCTCTGGAGAACAGTAAAAAGGAAAGTGATTGTCCATTCTGATATTCATACTCCGTTGCCGTCAGACAAAGTTACTGGGGAGAAAAGAAAAGAGGGATCACAGGACAAGCAAGCAAAAAATACTCCATGAACAAAGAAGACATGGGAAGAGAGTGAGGACAAGCAAGCAAACAAAGAAGAATGAATGGGAAGAGAGCGAAAGTCGTGACGACTCCTGTGAGATAAAATTGCAAGGAAAATGAGCAATAGCGAGATGACAATAATCAGATTGCACAATCACATTGAAAGCCAGATCGTATCACAGTGTTCAGAAAGCAGCATTGCACCAATATGACACCAATGGAGAATCGCAGCACTGAAAACCAATGTGTCTTTGAAACAAGCACGAATGGGTCGCAACACTCAGAATAGATTATGCTCAGTCGTCACATCCTGGAGCTGGAGAAACCCTGAAGCCTTAATGAGAGCTTTCTCTCGCCACCACCAACATATGTATCCAGTCCCTATCTCCCTACTCGGCTAGCCTACTCCCTACACAGCTACTACTAGCCTACTAATTGACAATGCAACTGTTGACGTCAGCAGCCTCCGAAGTGCTTGAAGATGTCGCCCATGCAGACCATCGCCAATACCAGGTATGTGCCCTCACATCATCATCATCATCATCCTTCTCTCTCTCTCTCCCTCGTCTTCCTCCCCACGTCTTCCCTTTGTACACCCGAAGACCACCCCTGCGCGTCACTGTACAACCAAGCCTTCAGCCAGCTATGGAGGCTGGGCTATGGCGCTGCCCTCAGCAGCGCCCTGTTCCCTGCACGACCGCACTTGCTTGCACCTTGCCTCTCAGCGCCAGCAGCCCACGAGCGTCCGCTCCAGCAGCGCTGTCGCTAGGATGCGAGTGCCTGAATGACCTCCAGGCAGCGAGCTCTTTCCTATATGGAAAGAGTCTGCCTGCCTTCGCAGCCTGGAGGACCTGGGCCTGGGCCCAGAAGCTTCCGGTAGGCCCCAGGATGCTGCGCCTCTGGTGCAGCTACTGGGCCTCATTCAGTTGGGCCTCCCAACTGTCTGTGTATGAGGCTGCGAATCGCGCCCAGGGCCTGCACTTTCGGAAAAGCCTAGAAGGCCATGGAATTTCCTTGTTACTCGGCCTGTGTTTTCCTCAACCAACTGGCGTGACGAAACCGCCTTCACTTAGGGCGGGCACATTTGCAGCAGGGGCCCCTTAGGCCTGCCGAGGACACAGATCCTCGCAAAAGTGGATACATGGAGAAAAGAAGCGTGGGGGCAGAAGGAAGAAGGAAGCAAGGGAAAAGAATTCAAAAAACTAGTGGCGAGTTATGAGGGAAGAGGAGATCCCACAAGCAGAAGAGTAGCACACACCCGACCACCTGATCACCTGATCAATTTGCACACACACACGTCCTTTTTTTTTGTTGAGTTGTGTATACACTGTATAGCGAACATGACAACACACACAGACGAACGGAGTTGGTTCTCTGTGAGCTTGCGTCTGATACGGCCGAGACATGACCAAATACAGACAGGGTTGATGTGAATATGCTGACGAAACTGTCCGGCACAGTCCTGTTTTTTTTTTTTTTTTTTGGTTAATTAAAAGGTTGTGCAGGCCGAGGTAGGCCGGCCAGTGCTTCAATCACACTCCAATACACCCAGGGCCGAGCGGGGGCATTCCAAGCCGGGAGACTCCCAATGGTACCCAGTCACTCAGCGACCCCCCTCTCCCAACTGTGTACGCCGTAAGCATAGCCAGGTACTCGCCGGGTATGTGAATGTGCTGGAGTTCAATATCGTGGATTCCCAGCGCGGGATGTTTTACTGAGTACCAACGCACTCGACTGAGCCAACCTGGACTCTATCCCACTGCCTGTCTTGAAACACAGGAACCTGTAGAACACAGTCGCCGTACACACAGCGAGGGAAGTACAGACAGAAGAGTCAGTTCTGTGTGTGTATGGGTGTGTCTGAGAGAGAGAGAGAGAGAGAGAGAGAGAGAGAGAGAGAGAGAGATCTGCCTCTGTCAGTTGTGTGTGTATGGGTGTGCCTGGAGCCTCTGTCAGCTCTGTGTGTATATGGGGTGTGTCTGGGGGTGCAGATACATGTCCAAATACAGGCCAACGGATGAACACAGACGAGTGATCATGAGGATGGGACAGAAATAGAAAGAGAGAGAGAGAGAGAGAGAGAGAGAGAGAGAGAGAGAGAGAGAGAGAGAGAGAGAGAGAGAGAGAGAGAGGGGGGGGGAGAGATCTGCCTCTGTCTGCCCCTCCTCACTCTAGTTGTCTGTCTCATCCTAATCATCACTTGTCCATCTGTGTCTATTTGTTTGTCTGTATGTGGACATATGTTTGCCGCTCCAGGCTCCCGTACACGTGCATTTGTTTTTCGGTTTCTGGTTTATGCTTCACTTTTGGAAATTTATGCTTCACTTTTGGAAATCAGGCAATGTAACTTCCACATGCATTTCTGCTCATTGATCCGTCTACTCTTTGTCTGCCTGCATGAAAAAACAACAGTTATGAGCATCTAGGTGAGACCTCCCTGAAAATTGTATCCCTCTTGCTTCTCCCGATTCGTATTCGGGTTTACGGTTTATGTCTTCTATACGACTCAATTTGCATTTCTTTGTCCATTTTGCATGTGGCGGGTGGCCCTCGACACATATCCTGTTCTATCTCATCACACGCAATACATCCTGTCCCATCTCTTCTCATGCAATCAGCTGGGTAACATCCTACAACACATCTGTCGTTTGCGGACTTTTCTCGCTTTACCCTGCCTCGGTACTTCTCCCTCTCTCCTTGGTTGCGTAATCACCAATGCTCCGTTTTACGGGTGCGGAGTTGCACTGGCTCTTCTTGTGGTGGTTTTAAAGCACCCCAACACCCAAAACCAGTTCCTCCAAACAATGCAGGGGTTGGTGGGTGTGAACGGTACCATGCCTGCTGCCCATGTACAGTCAATCTGTGACCCACCTTGCAAGCACTGCCAAGCAGTGCACATCCTTTGGACACCACTGAGCGCATTGGTGGTTCAATTAAAGAGCATAAAGCATCTCCTTGCTGCAGCTAACCATAGCTGAGGACACATGTGCGATCCGGAGCTCCAGATTTCTTTTATCGAAGGACAATGATTGTGGTTATGACAACTGCCAAGACGGAAAAGTGTACAGATCGCGGATTGTTTGTTGTTTTAGGAGGTCAGTTTTGCTTGCCGATGATGCTAGACTGTTGTCGATTGATTGATTGATTGATTGTTTTGACTGTTACTCTCCCCTTACGGCTTCTATCATCAGTTTGGGAGAGCGATTGTTTTGTTGTTGAATCAGTTGGTGGCAACTTGATGCTATTTGATTGTTAATTGATTGGCTGGGCTGCATTCTCTACCATCATCTGATTAGTGCCGAGTCCGTGGGGTTTGGTTTAGACGATTGATGGAGAAGAAAGTGCTTCCTTTCCAATGGCGGGACCATGAATGATAGGCCTCTGCGGTTGAGACTGTGACTGTTTGTGTCTTTGCTATATTGTTGTTCCCATTGACATATGTGTGATGTGTGCAACTGTCTGAGCAAGTGCGCATCTGTTTCCCTGTGATGGGTTGCTGTCATATGTGGTGCTGCCAATTTTGCACAGGAGCATTGTTTGATGGGAATAAAGGGTACTGTACGACGCAGTACAGATGGCCACGTCATTCATGCTAATGTGGATACCGACATCATAATATCTGAAGAACCCCCATATGGTAATTTCCAACTGCAACCAAGTAATGTCTTGACCGATTTAAGTTTTCATTAAACCATCACCACCTTGACCCCCTCCCCCGCTACGAAGAGGTGTGCCCTTTTTTTCAGCTGCCCCGTTGGATCGGCAATTTCATAACTACTACGCTACATTTTTTTTTGTAGTTTTTTCTCTGTCTGCAGAGGTTTACCCAGTATTTCAGGATCTAGTTGTGGCATGGCTACGATCTGGACCCCCGGAAAGGGATCCGGACTCTCCGGGATCCGGGATCCGAGATCCGGTACCACTTTTCGGTAACCGGTCCGGATGTACGCCCCCCAGGCCAACGGCCAAATTTTTTTTGGGCAGCCCAGGGCGTTTTTTCACTCCCTGGGCCGCGCAAAACAAATTGGCCCATATTTTTTTGGGCCTTTGGCCACCGTCTGGAATGGGCGGAAAATGTGTTGGTTCAGTTTTTTTTTTTTTTTTTGTAATCGTAGGGGGCAGTTCGCGGCCCCCACTTTTCAAAGGCAGCAGTTCTTCCCCCATCCCATTTTTCGAAGGCATATCCCCGTGGTGGTAACGTGCGCTTGGGGCAGTAGCGAGCAGCTGCACGGCGACCAGGACGTGGAGCGGCGCGTGCAGCAGGGTGAAGCAGCGTGACTCTCTCTCTCTCTCTTGTGGCCGCCATCTCTGCCCTCTGTTATGGTCGTCGTCCTCCTCCACCTCCTCCTCTTCCTCCTCCTCCTCTTCCTCCTCCTCTCTCTCTCTCGCGCGCGCACGCGAGCGTCGCTGTCATCTCCGCCCTCTGTTATGGTTTTCCTCTCTCTCTCTCTCTCTCTCTCTCTCTCTCTCTCTCTCTCTCTCTCTCTCTCTCTCTCGTGTCGTCGTCGTCGTTGTGTCCGCTGTCGTCGTCATGTCCGTTATGGTCAACGTCGTCGTCCTCCTCTCTCTCTCTCTCTCTCTCTCTCTCTCTCTCTCTCTCTCTCTCTCTCTCTCTCTCTCTCTCTCTCTCTCTCTCTTGTGCGTGCGCACGTGGCGACATTTGCATCTGACAGCACCTTAGTACAAACTCACACGGGGATTTTTTTCAATGTATCTGTCGGTAGTAGTTTATCTTCCTATGTTCTTGTGGAAGGGTCCTTCTCATTTTGCACATTGGCAGGCTGCTCAGTTGATGCACACACGAAAAGAAAAAGAAAAAAAAAGTGGCAGTGTATATTTCCACGTTCTGGCTGAAGATACTTTTCGATTTTCCTCATCCTACACACACACCGACAGTCACGCTTTTTTTTAGTGTTAGTTTTTTCCTGGAAAATACAATATATCCGGATGGGCATCTGGAAAGGGGATACGGACCGGTCTGGATTCTGCGGAAAATTCCGGTGTTCTGGAAGTCCGGAAGGGCCTGGAAGTTCCGGATTCCGGGGCCCGGATTCGGTCGGGGTCTGGTCCAGCATAGCTATGAGTTGTGGTTTAAGTAGGGGAAGCTAGGGCCATAAGGACCTGTTTAAAAATAATAATAATAAATAAATAGTGGAAGCTTGCTCCGCTTTTCACTTCAGATGAATACTTCCCATGATGCTTATTATTATTTGCGAAAGGGAAAAAGCAATAAAACCGAGGTGAGCCATTCGACAGAGCCTCCAGCTTCGATTGTTGATGCCAAACATTTAAAAGCTCAGTCCATACAACCCCCATGATCTGTTGAAATACCCACCTGTGTTCGAATCCGAATGGAACGAAGATGAATATAAATTATGAATCATTTGGGGCCTCTCAGTTCGACGATAATATCTCAATGCCATCACGTTCCTATACTGCTTTTTTCACTATTGTTATGACCCTGGCCAATTTCGAGATACACATCCACCAGAAAGTACAATGCCATCCAATTGCAGAAAGAAATGAATGAACTTGAGAGGAGAGAGAGGATTAGAAGAAGAAGAAGAAGTAAGAAAGAAGAAGTAAGAAAGAAGAAGAAGAAGATGTACACCAGCAAAGACAATGACAAGGCTCTTCTTCTTCGCCCAACAACCTCCTCCTCCTTATCTCCCTCTTCCCTTGTTCATACAAAAAATAATAATACAATGTTGAATGACTGGTCCAGAATCAGTGTCCGAGTCCCTCTTCTTCTGCAGGTATCACTCAAGGTCCACCATAGCCATGGCCGCCTCTCCCACTCTTCACTCTCATAGGCCGAGGCTATGGCGGACTACTAGGCCTTGCCCAGATGCCCAAAGGACAACCCAAAGC